CAGAGAAAGTATGATCAAAATTTTATATATTATTTATATTTACATATATATTTATATATTTCCATTTCAACCCTGGCAACTAGAGCCTTCATAAAACCAGGAAGCCAACAGGCACATGCGAGATGCCTTCTAGTTCTTTGCAATAGAGAAACTACATGTATAAGTGTTCTCTTCTGGAAGAGAAAAATAACTACCCTTCGTGTCAGGTGGGTGTTCTATTTCAGAGAAAACAGAACGATGTTCCTTCAAAGCAGAACCAAGGGAATGTGTTCTATTGGGAAAAATAACTGGCTCAATATTAATGAAATTAAAACAATTGTTAGTAAGGCAGCGAATCGCTGCTCTTATAAAAAGCTGGAATAAAAGAACAATTATCCTTAGATTTTAAGTGAAATATAATTACTTTATTCCTTTCATCCACCAAAAAAATCACCCTTTCAAAATCTCCCAATTGTAAAGGTCTGGCTTCATTGACCAGCAAGGAGAAAATTTCATGCCATTTCACATTCCTTCCTAAGCCAAGTGAATTACTAATTAAAAATTCCAAATTACCTTCATTGATTTCCTTGACTTATACTTCTACTAACTGGTTTCCCCAGCAGTGGCCCTAACCAGGCACCTGGTTCCCCATGATCCCAATTGTTGTATCAAGTGATCTCATCTGAGGTCACATAGCAAGGTAATGTGGAAGTGCTAAACGGAACCTTTTTATAACATGTAAAATTGGAGTTTGAAAAGGACTTCCTACCTTCCTCTGATTTTAAAAACAGATGTGAGTTTGGGTAGAAATAGTCATCTTTCCTACATTTTTTTCTCCCTTAGTGCTCAGATCCTATTAATCATGGCAGACTGAAATTTTACACAAGCCAACAGATTTCAAAGGCCTTGCCAAGAGGACAATTTAACCATAAGAACTCAGCTCCCCACCCTTCCCAGCCTGGAATTTCCAGTGACTGAGGCAATGAATAATTGCTTTCAGAAATAAAGGTCTGAAAAGAGCACTTGCTTCATACTTCCTACCTGAGCACGCTGCACCGTTTGTACCCAGGACCCACTCCATTGATCCAACTTCTACAGCAGAGGCTGCCACCTGTGACCTTGACCCTGAGAGTGGCCCCATAGAATAGGAGACTTCTAAACCACCACTGTATCAGGAAGAATAGGGAAATGAGGATGTAGAAGGACTAACCAAAGATAAAACCTAGTTGATGCCAAAGTCCACAATGGTACAGAGATACCTCAATTTACAAACAAAGCCACCCTGACTCCTGGTCCATGATTCCCAGGATGATATTCTGCTTCCAATTCAGTGTGTGTGGATTTCTTTAGGACTTGCAGCTCCCATCTTGTAAGCTTGCTCAGCTGTTCATATTGTTTCTCATTCTACCAACCTGTACTTGATGGTTACATCAAGACTATAATCCTGTCTTGTCTCTCTTAAGTCAACACCAAACTGCCCCATTTCCTGGATGCCTGGAGCAGATGCCTTAATGGCGTCTCCCATGAAGTGTCAAAACCCCACAAATGCAGGTTCCTCCCACCAGCATCTTCCCTGCATCCTGGATTTCCTATCTCATGGTTTGTAGCACTGACTATCCAGGAGCACCTTTAACTTCTATTTCAATAGCCTGTATATAGCTGGATAATTTCTTAGTGCTCTAGTGGTTCTAGCAACCATAGTCACTGCCCTGGCTAACTGCATATCATCTCCTTCCTGGAATATCATAACAGAATTTTCTTCCTACAACTTGGATCATATCAGGTACTTTAGCAATTTAAAATATTTAATATTCCCTTTTTTCACACTCAGTAAATACAGATTAAAAATAAAGAAGGCAGCTTATTTATTTTGGCTCACCACCATCTAAGAGTTTTCTAACAATTTTAGCTGTGTGAACATGCTCTGAGCATGCTATCAGCTAACTTAAAGTAGAGCGCCCCCTCTACTCTTTGGGCTTACTATATATTGCCCTTTCTAGAGACTTTCTTATTTCTGCACCACATCAAAAAGAGGCTGGAGGAATGGCCCCTCCAGACCCTGAGATGTCACAGGCTACCTATGCCTTCCAGAATATCTCATTGTGCCTTCTGGGGGAATTTCACGGCTAGCCAGCCCCTCACAATGTTGGCTCTTGGAAGCCATGCATCTAACATCTGACCTTTCTCCTGACCAGAGCTGAGTGACTCAGCATGGGACTAGACCCATCAGCCCCAGGTGAAGGTCCACACTCTTGCTGCTGAGGTCGTGGTCCCGCTGATTCCTGTACTTTCTGCCTCTCTGTAGCTCACTGTTTCATGAAATTCACTGGCTTCCTTATAATAATTTCCCTCAGGTATATGATAGTGGGTTCCTGGCCCTTGCAGCCCAGAGTTTGACCTAAAAGTGTGTTCTTGGATATTCTAAAACCACTAAAAGGGCTGAGATTGACCTCATTCTTATGCCAGGCCCTTCTTATGAGTGGAGGAAAAGGGAATGCTTCTGGTTGCATGTCTCTCCAAAACGCACAATGAAATTTAATTACTTCTGTAACACTGTAGACAGGCGAAAACTTCAAGAGGTGGTTAGGTGGTGAGGACTGTACTGTGGTGAGTGGATTGGTGTTATCCTAGGTATGGGTTAGTTATCATGGGAGTGGGTTCATTATAGGAGTAGGTTAGTTATTACAGGAGTAGTAACTACTACTCCGGGAACGGATCAGTTATCTCAGTTTAGTTATGGCAGAACTTGGTTCATGGGAAGTCTGAGTCCTCCTAGCCCCCACATGCACTCCTGCCATGTGATACCTTCTTCATAGGATGGGATGGCAAGAAAGCTCTCAGCAGAAGTAGCACTGTGCACCAAATAAACTTCCACTGTTTATATTTGACCAAGGATGTGGCCTTCTGTTACAACAGAAGAAAACAGACTCAGGCAAGAAATCAGGTTCCTAATCCAAAATACTTGTGTTTCTCTGGGAAAGAAAACTGGGCTGTCAAAAGCACAGAGGCCCAGATGGATGCTCCAGCCCACTCTCATAGAAAAGATGAGACAGGACTCCCTCCCTGGCCTTCAGGTAGGCTGCTTGGTGCTCTCTTTTTTGCTGAGCTTCTTCTTCCACCTGCTGAGCCAATTTGAGCAAAGAATCCCACTGAGCCCAGTCCTAGTGAACACAGCACCAGGCCAGTTCAGGGAGAATTTCCTAGGCTTAAGAATTAATCAGGTTCCTCTCTCCAACCTTAGATAGCAAGTTCTTCTTAATTGTTTCCCGTCCCTGAGCACCTCGCCTTACGTACTGGCTATGAATCCCTAGCTACTCTTGCTGTATGCTGAATTGAACTTAGTTCTCTCAACCCCGCTTCAGTCACTCACATAAAATCTGACTTACCATTTTTAACAGACACTCAAGGTAATTTGCTAACAGATGGCAACAGCCTTAGAGGAAGACACGCAGAGCATGAGAGGGTACTGTGGAAAACCAATCGCACCGGAAAGCATGGTGCCCGCATAGGTATGGGTCCTTCCCTTATACCCGCATGCCCAACACTCAAGGCTGGCTGTGGCTTTCTCCCAGAATGAGCACTGACAGATTTAAAAAGAAAAAATAAAGCCAGGAGACACGTCCTCCTTCCCACCCAGAGTTGGCTGGTACATTTTCTGTGGCCTGCGCCTTTAATCCTCAGCCTCAAGCCAGCATGTACTTGGTCCCTAAGTCACTAAAACCCTCAGCATCTCAGGAGCATCCACCATGGAAGTGCCTGATGAAACCCATCTTGCGCTGACCAAACCCTAGGATAAAGGAGAACGCACAGCTCACAGTTAAGTACCGTGTCTGACTGCCCTTACAGCCACACTGACTGTCCAAAGGAAAAGGTATCATTCTCAACATCCTCAAGTTTCCTGCAGGATGCAGATGGCCCGACATGCTTGCTGGGCCTGCCTTTGCTGTTCGCTCAGAAGCATCCATCACTGTAGTCACAGTGCGACCACAGGCAACTTCTGTGCAAGGTTTTCAACACGTTCAAACTAAGTATCTGCCACAATTAAAGAATAAGCTGTAAACCATGCTTTGCGGGGGCAGGGGGAGGGTTCCAGAAAGGGTTAAATATGAAAGGTTCTTTCAAACAATATTTTTGTCCTAGGTTGACTATGTCAGTTACGGAAAGAAATGCAGGTCTCTGACATCTTTGGTCTCATATATATATATGTGTGTGTGTATATATATATATATATATATACACACATACACAAAGATACATATGTATTTTTCACCTGCAGCAAAAACTCATCTGCGACACTTATGAATTAACGTTAAAATGAGGATTAAAAACAAAATCTGCTGCATTAAAGCATTCTGCTAGAATTAATTTTTGCCAGTTTCTGAACTGAATATTATATTAACCTAGTAGACAGCACAGTAGCATCAGAACATTTGACCTATATCCATATGATTTCTAACACAAAGGAGGTGGGAGATTGTTTTCACATAATTTATGTTAACAAACTTAATAAAAGCTATGAACTGTAACCATCTCACCTACTGTTTTTACAGTTTAGTGGCTATGAATTAAAGCTTCATAAAAAATGATTTATGGATGCAGAGCTACCATGCCTTTATTTAAACTGCAGCCCCTCCCTTCTGAGAACATTGCATTTTTGTCCCATTGCTCATTCCTGGTGGAACCCCGCTTGCTCCGTGCTGGCCCAGCCTGGCACACTCAGCTATCTGTGGTCACTGCAGGTTCCAAAGGCACTGCCCGAGGCAACCAATACTCCGTTTGCATTATTTGCTATTTTTTTCAGAGATTGCTGGCATGGAAGCCAGAGTGTTTAGAAATTTAAATAAGCTTCAAATCTTGCCAGAACCACTGAGTTAGCATCTCATGTTTGGGAGAAGCTAGGCTCCAAAGTACATTTCATTATTAATAAAAATAAAGGCAAAGGAGGGATGCGGGAGAGAGAGAGAGACAGAGAGACAGAGAGAGAGACAGAGAGAGGGAGACACCAGATCAAGACCCTTTACCTGCATTCAAAAGACTTTCATTTCTCTCCCAGGCAGAGTGATCTTTGGTGGATGAGAAAAACCGACTGTGGATCTGGAAAATAAACAGAAACCTTTCCCAGTTTTGTATTTTTACTTGCCAGCTATATAATCTTCAATAATATACGCTTTTTTTTAAAAAAAAAAAAAAAGGAACATCCTTAGAATCTCTCCTTTCTCCCAAAAAGAACTACAGAGAGTAATGAGTACATATTTCCATTTTCTCCTGAGCAAACTCTGTCAGTAAATAAAATGTAAGTTTCCAACAATTTCAATATATACAAGAAGAAAGGAGGGGAAGGAGAAACACAGGAATCAGCCAATGTGGACTCTGCTGTGGATTTTTTTAGTAGATCAAAGACCAACATCTAACATTTCTGGTCCAGCCCATCACAGTTCTAGGAAGGTAGTGGGCTAAAACTGAACAGTCAATAAATATTGATCAGCCATGGGCAATTAAATATCAGGAATTAGTTATGAAAGCCCAATGAAAATAATGTTAATAGTATACAAAATGTGCTGTTGTCTACAAGTGTGATTATTATGCTGATTTTCTCTCCCAGAGGCAAAGTTTTATTCTGTAAGTTTGCTCTGAGAGCAGTTCACTGTGAGCGAGGCTCAGACTCCGATCATAATTGCACCGAGGCCGCAGAGCATCCTATCCCATCTGGAACTTCCCAGGTCTTCCCTCAGCCCTTCCAATCCACTCTGTCCTTACCCAAGGCCAAGGACAACCTAGAATTGAGTAAGGGGACTACTCACTCTTGGAGCTCACTTCCAGCTCTGATCCTGAACCTCAGATTTCTTAGTCCTGGGGCCGAGTTAAGCTTTTTGGTGCTTAGTTCTCATTTTATCTGTGCAACCCATTTGGGGGTTACAGGGAAGAAGCTGGGGCTTCCATCCCAAGTAGAAGTCTGGCTTCCCTGACTCACGGGGACAGACAGTGGTTGGGATGTTAAGGGGGCTGGGCTGAGGTCTGGAGAATCAGTAGTTTTCACCATTTTTGCCTTGGCCCAGCCTCCCTGCTCTGGACCCACTCAGCCACTGCCAACCAGTAACATGATAATTAATCATAATATGAACTGCTGACACGCTTCAGACTTCAAAGATGCTGTCCTTACGCTTCAGTGCTTTATCTACATCCTCTTGTTGAATTCTCATGCCTGTTAGAAAGATGTGCTTTGTTCTAGCTTGTTTTGTTTTTCATTTTTGTTTTGTTTTCAGCCCTGGGAATTGACCAGAGAGACTGAGATACATCCATGGTTCTTTTTTAAAATTTATTTTGTGAGAGGGTCTCACTGAGTTACCCAGGCTGTCCTCAAACTTGCAATCCTCTTGTCTTAGCCTCCTAGGTAGCTGGGATTACAGGTATGCAGAGAGATTAGCAGAGAGATTTTTTTAATCAGTACCACCCCAAGTCAGCTGAGAAAATGAAGGCTTCAGTGAAAAAAAACAGGCCAAGGTCACCTAGATGGGACAAGATGAAAACAGGATTCTGATCAGGCCAGTCAGAGCCAAAGCACTGGAACTTTCTGCCAGCATGTCCCAAATATAGTTGTTATTACTAAGGATCTCTACTTGGCTAGTTGGCTGTGTCGATGCTTACATGACCTTTATTACTTCCACGTGTCCTTTTCTTAGATTTTGCACAGATTTGTCATTGGGTAATACATGCACCCTGGGGAATACCTGAAAAAGTTTCAGAGAATTAAAAAGATTATGACATCGGAAATGGGTTTGGAGAATAATTTAAATCCCAAGTTCAGCATCAAAAGTGAGCTATGTCTCTGCTGCTTCGACACATCCAAGCACGTAGGTATGGGAATAATTGGGGTGGTCCAGGGGTGTGGGGAAGCTGATGGGGTACAGGAGGTGGAGGAGTTTGGGCTGGCCTAACAGGGTTTTGCACGCTTCTCTCCTGTACTCTTCTCTCATCTTTTAAGGATTGTTGTGCATGTTTTTTCAAATACCACACTACCAAGTCTAGCAAGTTATCTAACCATGGACAAGCTAGCTGGCACTTAATTTTGTCTCATTTATTCCTGATGTCCCTCTCCAGTTCATATTTTTTGGGTTTTTTTAACTGATCCAAAATATAATAAAGGCCATATTCATGAAGTCTTTGTAAAATTTCAGAAGTATCTGAAATATCTAATAGCAGGGAATGGTTTGTAGGTCAGGTCTATTGGTCCACAGGACTAGAAGCCCCCGGGGGGCAGGACTACCCGTACATCTCATGTGTCTGGCACTGTGGTGGCGACTAAGGAGAAAGCCAAAGAATGTCTTCAGAAGAAAGGGAGGAAGGAGGGAGAGAATGGCAGAAGGGAGTGAGGAAAGGGGAGAAAAAGAGGAGAAAGGAAGAAGAGAGGGAGAAAGGGAAAAAAGAAGGAAAGTTGGGGGAGAAAATAGGAGTGAGGAGGGGACAGTCACTAGTCAAGGTTAAGAGTCAAGAAGTGGACACGTCTGGTGTCCTGCAATGCCTAAAATTTAACTGGCACACTTCTATAAGCAGAAATACTTTCCAAGAAACAATGCTTTACTCTCATTCTTCTGGTGTAACACACAGAGGAGCCCCTGGTCAATCCAAGCCATTTCCTGAGTAGTCAAGTGTCTCCTAACTCAATCCTTTCAGGGTTGTCTCTGAAGCATGAAGCATTAGTTACTAAATGAAGAAAACAGTACTCTATCAAAGCCGTACATTGACAGAGAGATAAGGCCCCTTTTTAGCTGCCAGTGACCCAGGGGTTGTTCACCCTCAGCTCCCATGAGGAACTATCATAGCATGTGGGCAAGCATCTCATGCATTCTCCAGAAAGTGGGTGATAAGAGCTGAAACTATTATTTCCACTTGCAGATGGGGCTATTGTAACATGGAGAGATTAAGTAACTTACACGAGGTCACCCACTAAGCAAGCAAAAGAGCTCACACTAGAACCCAGTCAACTAGGATCATTCCTTGAGAATAGAAAACTATTATTAGGATCAAGCACCTTAAAAAAAAAAAAAATCTGAGACCTCATAGTAGTACAGAACACTGAAGTTTGCAAAGCTTTCTAATACACATTACAGCACTTTGTTTTGATTCTCCAAAGTCCCTGGGCAATGACTAAGACACATAGTTTAGTTGCTGTTTGCTTTAATGAGACTAAGGCCCAGAGAGGGTAAAGAACCCAAGTTCTTTACCAGAATGAGGCACTGGTGGTGGCTCTGTCACCTACACCAGCCCTCCTGACGTTCCACCCATCACACTGCCTATCTCCTTGGGGAAAACAGCACTGCCAGCACCATCCCACCAAGGTCCCATGGTCAATCCTGGTGTCTGCTAGGACAATGAAGCAACATCAAGCTGATCTATGAATCCCATCGACAGTCAGAAGTGGTGCTCTCATGAGCTTTGGCTGAACACGGCAGATATAACCCCAGTGAACCTTCCATGTGCATAAGACTGAGCTATTCCACAGCAACCTCAGCACTTTCTCTCCTGATTCTGCCACATCCTGCCACTGTAGCTGGGCTCTAAAGGACATGCATGCTTCTGGTTTTGCTGTTTTTATCATTTTCTGACCCTCTCTTCAAGACACCTGAGTACTCACTATGGATCCATGATCTTTTATTTCCACTTCTAAAATGCATAGAGCTCTAAAATTTGGGGGTTCTTCTCCCAGGGTTTGTGGCAAGCTAAGCTAAACTAACCTCAAAATCTTACCTAAACTAACCTAAGGCTATTTATAATATTAATTTATTCCTTTTAGTGTGAATATTCATCAATTTTATTGCAAAAACATCAGTGAGCTTAATGATTGGATGCTACCTCAGATCCCCCTGGAGATGGTGCACAGATTCATTGTTTTAAAATCCAAAGAACTGCTGTTGAATCAAATTGGGCCCCTACGGTTTGGCGTGTAGGATTGCAGCTCAGTATTGTGGATGTTTAATGAACATTTGTCGCCAGCTCCTAGTTTTGGGTTTGCCATATGCCTCTCTTCCGGTCCTCACAGAAACCCCCATAACACACACATGTTATAGGTAAGGACACTGGCCATGGAAAGATTAGGTAATTTGCTCTAGGTCATTGATTTACTCAGCCAGAGCCAAAAGAAGCCCCAGCCTTACTCAAATACTCTTGTTTCACCCCTGCACCCAAATCCTTCCCTTCTCCAACTAGAATGCAGTATACATGCGTGTGTGTGTGCGCTCATGCATGTCCACATGCATGTGTGTGTGTGCTCATGCATGTCCACATGCATGCCATTTACCTGGGGTGTGGGGAGAGATAGCTCCTAAGTTTTGTAAAACATTGAACAATTGGGGGACTGAAATTTTACATGCTCCAGGCAAGAGAGGGAAGAAAAACAATTGGGAATTGGAAGATCTACAAAAATTCAGCTTCCAATATTCACCCCTCCAACCTTGCCTCTTTGGGCACATGCATGGTTCAGTGAGAAAGACAGGAGATATCCCAAATCTACTTGTATGCCAGGGAGCCAGGGACCAAGGGTGGATTTTGGGGCTGGGCCTTCTGGCTGGATCAACGGATAATGCTGGAGTCCAAAGAAAGGAAGGTTCTTTCACCAGACTACTTCTTCTGGGACACATGAGAGTCCACTAGGGGGCAGACAACACGTGGGGTGGATGGATCGGGTTGGACAGCGGGTTAATATAGCCTCTCTTGGGAATGGTCTATCTCTCCCACGCCAATCTCGATGCGTGATTGATCTTTGCAGGGCTATATGTTTGTTTTCAATCTTCTGAACTCTCTTCTGCAATGATAATTAATGTCAGACAGTGTATTTTCTGGTTAATGCAACTCTGCACCTATAATAACTCAAAACGGAGATTTATCCTGCACCATGACTCCCTCTTCATGCTTCATCTCTCCATGTTTACATCTGGTTTAACTTTTTCTAATCTAAAATAAATCAGCATGAAAAGCATTAGATTTTTCATTTAGATTCTCAATTGCCTTTTATTACTGAGATAATATCCCTTATCTGACTGCAAATGGTGGGATTGTTCCCTTGTTGGGATCCGAATGAAGATGCTGCAGCTCAATCT